GATGCATATTCTCAATTTTCTGTAATCATCTATTAAGTAGGGATGTCTTGAGCCAGGTATTGTATCTAGATCATCAATGGAATGATCCTCTATAAAGTCATCTAGATTTTTTTTTTTAATCTTTCATGACGCTTTGTGGCATTGAGTTCCATAATTAGGCATTTTGTTTACTTTAATTCTGCTTTATAATTTCCTTGGGTCTTCTGGGATGCTACTCTTTCCGTATCACTCATGTAGGCCAGTATCATATCAGTTATCTTTCTTCCAGGCTGAAGAATCCTAGCTCTTCTTTGTGGGAATCATTCCCACACCCCTCTGGACCTCTTTTATTTCATCTGTGCCATTTTTAAGGTAGAGGAGGAGAACAGGGCTGCATGCAGTATTGCAAATGTAGGTATATGATGGGTTTATGCAGTGGCAAAAGGTGTTCTGTATGTTCTCCCATTTTTTCTGATGTCTAATCCTCAAAAATGAAATGGTATGGCTGAGAAGTGTGCCAGTATTTTCAGAAAGCTCCCCCTAATGACTAGGGAATCATAATCTCATTTTAAGGATTTTGCATTTTATATGCGATCAGGATTATATTACTTTTATTGAGCTTAAACATCATCCGATAGCATAAAAATAAATTTACTAAGTCAGCACAAGGTTCTGGCTAGTCCAATATTGTGTCTGATGCAAGCCACTGGTGAATGCCAAGAAAAGAGCATAAAAGAAGAAAAGCATAAAGTGATTTCTTCCAGAATACTACTCCAGGCTACAACAATCTGTGTTTTAGCACTTTCTAAACCAGAGGCCTTTAATTTTAGAGCTGTTTATTTCTTTCTTGAATCTATTCACATTTGCAGTAAATTTCACCTTTCACATCATTGCCCAGTCAACTCTGTAAAATCCTAATACCTTTTTTGTAGTTGAGTTTCATTTGACTACCCTGATACACAGCTTGGTATCTATCATCAGCAGTTTCTCTCAATACAGTCTTTATCACTTCTACTCCTCATTAATTACCAAATATTGACCCTAATACAGATAGCTGCTCTATGTTGTGATAGCAGGCATTATCTTCCTGCACTTTTTCTGTGTTTTAACTACTTACCCCCTAAAGTACGTGCCTTCTTATCCCATGGCAGCTTGTTTTTGTTGAGAGCTTTAGCTGAGGAACAATCAAAAGTTTTTTTTAAAAGTTCAGTATGCTGTGTTGAGATCACTTAACTTGCATGTTTGATGGCTCCTTTGGCAAATTCTGTTCTAAGAGGGTCTAAAAGGAATGACTTCCCCCTAAGCCACATTGATTTCCTCTCCCACCCCCTCATCTGGATTTTTATCTGCATGTGCCCATGCCTTTCTTTTATACCTGTGTGCCTTGTTTGGAAGTCAGTCATCTGCTCACCAATCCCAGTATCCTTTCAAGATGTCAGATTTGTTGCCTACATTCATTTGGTTCTGAGGCCTTTTCAAACAACAGGTTAATGCTACGGTTAATAGTTCAGGAAGGATTCTGAATTATAACAGCTACTCATACTTGGGTACTGTAACAAGGCAGATATTGCATCTTGGAGTCTGGCTCTGGAGCAGAGGGCAGGCCACTGGGTACAGCTTAGCAGACTGTGCACCTTTGATCTGATATATCTTCATAGATTTCTGTATTTGAGGTTCTCTGCTACATTCAAAGGCTTTAGAGAGGCTTTCCCGGAGCCAGTTTGTACTTGAAGGGAAAAATCTGTGGTTTTGTGGAACTTTTTACACAAGTATCTCACAGCAGTTGTTCAAGCCAAATTATCGCAAAGGGCAGATAGATGTTCTAGGTGTATGTCAAAGCACATCAGATAAGCTCTACCAGCTCCTGGTAAGGATAAGCTCTACAGTAGCTCCTGGTAAGGAGCTACTGTAACAGCAGTGTACTTTAGATGCAGAACACATCCTAAAAGGCTTGAGAGCAAGTTAACTGAGAGTCTGCTCTACCGGAGTATCGTTCCTGGTGAGTTCCTTTGGTGAGGGACCCAAGTCACAGTCTAAATTTACAGTAAGGACTTGGTCATGTAACTTCAACATTAAGCAAGGCCAAAATGCTCACCTCTCTAGCTACAGCATACCATACTGGCGGTCACACTGCTATTTAGTGCATGCTACTCTATTGAAACTAGTGAAATGCTTGGAGCACTAGCATACACCTGAGTCCTTTCAGTATACTTGATTTTTTGTAAGGCTTGGCACTTCCAATAATTTTCAGTGAATCATGGGTGTTAGGGGCAGGTGTCTTCTCACGCATGTGACTTCCTTCCCAGAATCCACAGTAGCCAGTACATGAGCTACAGATCACCTAAAAGTTCTGGGCACGGGATTACTGTAAATCACTAAGACTTCAGTGCTGTCTCAAATTCAGCACCTGGGTATACCCTTATGTCTACGTTAACTGTATCAGCTATACACTTAATCTTGCACTTTCTCTTAAAACTAACTTTTCTTGTCTACACAGTTCTCCAGGAGCAGGATGGGCAGCCAGAGGAAGAGGAAATGTTAGTAACACGTGATTCATCAACACCTACTTCATCAGCACTTGAAGAAATGGCCTTGTACAGCAGCAAACGCAAACTCCGACACAGCCGGCGCAGTTTGGAGGCTGCTGTCCCTACGTAGAAGATCTGATGCACCTGGGCGATGGAATAGCCCAGCACAGGGCTTTTGAGCTTCCTGTGCTCCAGGGACAGCACTGGACTGCCCACACTGCTGCCTCCTGGACTCTGGATGGGAACTGAGCACCCCAGGGAGCATTGTGGTCAACTAACTTCCTTTAAGGCTGTGAACCGCCCTCTTTTCTCACCCAATAATGCACTGGGGCACGTCCTAAACAAAATGGGACAACACTAGACTTATTGATGGCAAATTGAGAGGAGGTGTGGGTAGGACAGTGGGCAGCTGCAGCTTGTTAGCCTGTAAATATTGTGTGTGTGGGAAGGGTAGGACAGGGAGAACATATGAGTGTGAGACTGCGTTGGGCTCCAGCTGTTATTTCCTCAACTTGGATTTTTTAGTGGTTAATATGGGAGCTTCTACTCTGGTATGAATTAGAAGGAAGGTCCAGCCTGCCTTTGCTCCTATTTAATTTCCAGTCTTTTGCCAAAAAGCATCTCCTTCCACCTCCCGCACCGTGTCACCTCACTTTCTTTTGGGAGTATGTGGAAATGGGTAGCTTGGAGGCAAAAAAAAAAAAAAAGAAAAAAAAAAAAGAAAAAAAAAAGAAAATAAAAATAAAGGAATTTCAGTGAAGTGCCTCCCTCTGACACCTATGTGCTCAAGCAAAGACAACTGAATAAGCAGGAGCCTGTGCCAGCTCTGTGCCACCTGCCTCTGTGAGCTCAGCAATCTATCCTGTGTAGGAAACTGCTCCTGCCAGTGTTTTGTGCTATTCTGGGAGACAGGTACCTACCTAGATGGACACATAATTGTGTGTATCTCGTGCATGCAGTGTGAACCACTCTACAAGCACGCTGTACTGAGTGTCAGAGGAGGCCAGGTATCTGTCTTCTGTCAGCACCATGACTGAATTGGTAAACTGGGTCAGAAATAAGAAAGGAGCCGAACAGCTGTAGCAAGAGTATAGCAGTATGCATGTGTGACAGCAATAGAGAGCAGAATAGTTGGGGATTAGCATACGGTGGCAGAGATAGGAGGTGTAAACAGCAGATAAGATAGGGGGTTAGGATTCAGGAAATGGGGAAGGGTAGGAAGTGGCGTTGCTGGGGTCAGGTTAGGAGTAATGGGGTCTTACAGGTAGGAGGATACTAGTGGGTCGGTCCACTATGTTGCCCGCAGCTGTGAAATGAAATGTGATGTTACGGGGGTGCCCAGTGTGGGGCTCTCAAGGAGCACCTGCCAGGCAGGGAGCACAATGAAGTAGGATGGGTCTGGCCTATGCCTTGCAATAACTACACAATTCTACTTTTTGCCAACTTGTTGGCTTCAGGCCCCTTTCCATGTAGAACAGGGAAAATACATGCTTGCCCATGCAAGAGGAAAAAAAATGAAAAAGGAGCAGGGGTGTGATTCCTGGTTTCCATGAGTGGAACAAGGGCTGTGAACAGATTCTGTGTCGTGAGCTCTGCAGCTGTGGAGGAGACAGATGCTGCTTATAGCTCTCAAATCAGCCTCTGCTGTCCACTGCTGAAGTAAAATGTCCCTTTTTTTTTTTTTTTCTAAATGCCTCTAATAGGGAGAAAGGTATCTGAGCTTGGCAGTAATCTGATCTGTACCCT